GACTTTACAATAGGATGCCTGTTTTTGAGGAATTAACAGGAAAGTGAATCAAGGACTTTGTGAAAAATGCTGTCACTGTTCAGCATATGCTAGGTCAATTAACGTGCCTAGTAAAAAGCAAATGTTACAAAATTTCCTGATTCTATAACCACATTATATGCACTAAACTAAATGCATGAAAGCTCTTTGCATGGATTAAAAGGGTTGCACACAGAAGCTGAGGGCTAACCTTGCCACTACTAACTGGTTATCTACCCTCATGAATATCCCACCTGAAAAAAACTGTGACAATATACTGTGTGTATCTACAAGGAGGGAAAACATGGGAGCGGGGAGCGGGGGGGTTCCTATCTTTCTATTTGGATACCTGAGCATGTACAAAATTCCGATTTTCTGGCTATCAAGTGCCCCATATAGAAATCACTTTGAGATTTAAAGAAGAAAAAGACTATCAGCTTAAAATGCTATTTTCTGCCACCATTTCCAAATATGTATTTCATGATTAAATTCTAAATCTTAAAGCGTTAGTGTGAAATACCAATAAATTTTCTTTGTTGTTACTACTGCCTGTATTCTAATAAGGAAACAGTTTGGGATTTTTACCCAGGAGTACCAGATGAATGATGGATCATCCTTCAGTTCTTCATTGTGTATTAAAACAGTGAACTACTGTATGCATAATGAAGTTGTCTAAATGGAAATGCAATTTAACTTATTTGCTTAGAGTAATAAAAGCATTTTGTGCATTTAATCTCAATTAGTTTTTATCTGCTCTTTCATTATAAGGGACTATATATATATCCACCTCCATAAAACAGGCAGTAAGGATCATCTGAATAAAAATTAAGCTGGCAAGTAAGCAACACTGAACGATACCCAACAGAAACAGCAGTAACTAAAGATTTCAGTAACAATCCAAATTTTCTTCTCTTATTAAAGAAGAAAATGATTAACTGCTAAAGATACCTTTCATTGGATTTTAGAAATACACTACACTAAGGCTCAAGCTTCTCAAACTCATTTAAAAACACCTGCAAATTAAAAGCAAATGACAAACATTACTGCTTACCCATGGGAACAACTAGTTTTTTTAACAGATGAATCTTCTGCCATGGTAAACACACTAAATTAGAAATGTCAGTTATACCCTTAAGAAATATTTCCACATACTCCCATATTCTTTTCTGGAAAGAATCTCGTAGCAGAGAGCATACCATTCTGAAGGGTAACCCAGGTTAGCAGTCATCCACATACTTGAAATCTCGGCCAGTAAAAATGCAAACTAGACAGACGCTTGTGTGCTGGCTTTCCATGTTAAGAACTCACTCCATCAATAGTGTACCATCTGTCATCAGATGTCACAGCTTCACCTTAGCCTGGCACCACTCCTTGGCAAACGAGAAACCAGGCCTAAAACCCAAGTATTCAGTTTTCCAGTCCGGTGCTTTTTTTAAGGACAAATTTTATGAATTCTGTAGGTAAATTTTTAAGTTAAAAATTCTTGGGTAAGAATCCAAATTCAGAATCAGTTAAGAAGCAAAGGTCAGAGAAGACAGGCCATGAAAACTCATGAAAGTCAATGAGAAGGGCGTCTCTAACCACATCCATGAAAATCTAAACCAACCACTAAAAAAACCCCTCCTAATCTTCATTTCCCTACCTGGGAGTCCAAAGAGGTGGGATCCAATCTCCTAGAGCCCAAACAGATGGATCTGTAGATGAGTGCTATGTCTACATATCCTTTATGTCTCTAGAAACAGAAGTGACTGGCACACATACTGGAAACCCAGAAATCGGGTGGGCAGGACAGCACAGCTGGTACATATTGGCAAAGAGGACTGACACGCTCTCTGTAATAGAACCATATTATTCCCATCACTGCTGCACAGACATCTGATCAGTAACTACAAAAATGCGTATTTACGTGCGTGGAAAATTTAAAGGGTAATGTCAAATAATGTAAAAACATGACGTACTTATTCACATGACTCTCAAAAACATCTAGGAAAAATATAAATTTTAAAAAGCGAAGTTTAGTCAATATTTAATAAACAAGACCCTTCACAAGAATTTTTGAGTATGAATCCAACTTCCATATTTCAGTGAACTTTAAACCTTATTGTAAGTTATTCTCTCCAAGTTAGAGTAATTTGCCAAACAGGACAACCAACAGATTTTTACTGGCTAAGGATAATTTCAGTCTAAGATTTTTATGAAGTTGTAAATGAGAAACTAAAAACAGGAAAATGTGAAACGACGTAGCAGTTTAAGCCCCTACTTACCACAAAGAGTGTAGGGGAATATTTAATCACTTTTAATCCCCTTTTTATTTTACTGGTGTTGGATATGGGGTCTTTTTAAGATATAAATTCTGCAACAGGTTTTTACTAACTCAACAGATGCAGCACATCACAATTTTATGTGCCACATAGCCATTTTTGATGATGGGGTGAGTTCTGGGGGAAAAGTTCTATAATTCCCAAGTACTGGTACAGTAAATCCTGAATGAAAACTGTAAATGTGAGTATATGCCTTACAAACTTAAGCACATAAATTCAACAGTATAGAAAGTCAGAACATTATCAGAGCCAAAGAGTGCTCTAGGTAAAATTCAAGACCAAAATCAAATTTTGCTTATTTGCTTTTCTACCAACTGTTTAGTTTATGAATTCAAGAGACATTCTATTAAGAGTACTAAAGCTGATGGGGCGCAGAGACATTCTATTAAGAGTACTAAAGCTGATGGGGCGCCTGGGTGGCTCAGTGCGTTAAGCCTCTGCCTTCGGCTCAGGTCATGATCTCAGGGTCCTGGGATCGAGCCCTACATCGGGCTCTCCGCTCAGCGGGGAGCCTGCTTCCTCCTCCTCTCTCTGCCTGCCTCTCTGCCTACTTGTGATCTCTGTCAAATAAATAAATAAATCTTTAAAAAAAAAAAAAAAGTACTAAGCTGATACCCCTCATCCCTTTTTCACCACTCTGTCTCAGCTACATGAATCGGTAAGAAAGGTGGCAATTGCTGCCCCCCCCCAACACAAGCACTGCCATCTAGTGGCAATTTTTTTTTTAACCAACAATTAAAAAACAAAAACAACACTTGGCCCTGCTCTGGTAACAAACAGTAGATCCTGATGGTTTGGCAAATAAGCAAATGCATTTGGTACACAAACTCCATGCCACCAAACTACTGACCAGTTATTTATCTACAAAAAAAAGTTACCACAGTAAGAAAAGTAAGTCTCTTACGTATTACAATATTTTGCAGTGACTCGTGACTTCCTCATTCATTCATTATCCAGTGATGGCACATGGATAATAATGCACCAAAGAAAAGTAAATTGAAAACTCTTAGAAACAATGAGTAAATATAACCCTGAATTGAAGACACTAAACCACTATGCAAATGTGCTCTTGCCCCCACCCTTCTCCAAGTTCTTGGACATTCCTACCCAAAACACTCAACAACACAGAAGATAAATGCCTGATGAACACATTCCTATAAAGTTATAAAAACAGCAAATGTTATTTACAACATTCACCTTAAATTTGGAAGTGGAAACTAAAGATTAAAGTTAAGATTAGGAATTAGGGGGCGCCTGGGTGGCTCAGTGGGTTAAAGCCTCTGCCTTCAGCTCAGGTCATGATCTCAGGGTCCTGGGATCGAGGCCCGCATCGGGCTCTCTGTTCAGCAGGGAGCCTGCTTCCCCCTCTCTCTCTGCCTGCCTCTCTGCCTGCTTGTGATCTCTCTCTGTCAAATAAATAAATAAAATCTTTAAAAAAAAAAAAAAGATTAGGAATTAGGAATAGGCTATTTCTTTTGAAGTACTGTTTGTAGGAAATTATTGGATGTGGTCAAAAGCTAAAATAGGAATATGAGCCTCTATCACCTATTATTCCATAATCCATTAAATAATACAAGCTAAAAAGCTTCCCAAACATTTTCAAATCATGGCATGCACCAGAAAATAATTTTATCTGCACACATTAAGAAATGCAAGAGAATGTTCTTGGCTGAAACCTAGGGGATGAAGAGGTCAATATGAATAAATTTTGTTCACAATCAGTGGGAACCTATGGGTCAAATTTGGGGCGCCTGAGTCACTCAGCAGCTGAAGCATCTGCCTCCCGCACAGGTCATAATCTCAGGATCCTGAGATCGAGCCCCAGGTCAGGCTCCACACTGAGCCAAGTCTGTCAGATTCTCTCAACCTCTGCCCCACCCAGTCATGTTTGCTCTCTCAAACAAATAAAATCTTTAAAAAAAAAAAAAAAGGTCAAATTTATTAAAAGTCCTGACGGAAAAAGGCTGCACTAAATACTGCACAAGCACCCAAACCACTGAAGTTTCTCAGAAAGTTCTTAGAATTCTGGAACTAAGATCATAAATATTACTTTGATCTTTTACACATCAGTATTCAGGAAGGAGCTTCTCTACTGGACATTCCTCTAGTCAAGGAAAACAGTAGTTCCAGTCTCTGAAACAGGTCAAACCAACATGGTAGGGTTGGGCTGACCTTCCTGGCCACCTAACCCAGGACTATACAGCTGAACAGTATGTGCTTTAACCCCACGGGACAACTCTCAGATGTCTGGCCACTATTTTTAGGTTATGACCCTGGCCGCATTTCTTCTGTTAAAAAACAAAGAAACAAAAAAACCCAAAACAACAACAACAAAATTTTCCACAAGTTCCTCTGCCCGAAATTGGAGACACCTTGTTTTTGAGTTATTTCAAATCACAAATTCAGAGACTTGTAAACATGAGCCTTCTGTTCAATTCCCCAGGGGGAAAGGATTCTTCATTCTGGTATTTACAGTTCAAAAAAAGTTGTGATATTGTGGTTAGAACACAAGGAACCACTTATTAACTTCTTGCTACTATTATAAATAACAGCAGCTCAGTCCAGGTTACTGTGACCTGTGACAGATCAAGGAAACAAGTTATTTTCTCCTCTTGTGATTACAGCACATTGCGAGAGACACTTTTTTTTTTTTTTTTTTTTACCTTTTAATAAATGTCCTGGCACTCTGAGTTTCCCTTTCAATTCATTTAATTTCAACAGTCTGTCAAAAAAAGAGCCAATAAACAAATACTGAATTACATTTTGTTGGGTTTTTCAAACCCTCCAACTGCAGACTATAAAAACATCTGGGTCTCTCACCCTGACCACCCTGCTATGTTGCCATATACCACAGGCAACCCGTAGATACACAGCCAGGGGGCAAAGCCAGTACGGTCTACTTGGAGCCAGTAGACAGGAGGGCGATGAGGCCTGATGAAGCGCTTATGGACAAAATATAATTCCTGTAAAAATTCAACGTTAAGGAAAGATTAAAAGTGCAAAAGTAGTTCTTCCACAAAATAAAAAGAGCCCAACTCTTTGGAATGTGCTCTTCCCGTCTGACACTGTAAAATGATAATGATGTGCAGTCCCATTATCTGCAAATGCAATTTACAAGACAGAAGGCTATAAAGCTATAAAGAATGAAGAACATTCACAGGAAATGTGTTCCAGTTTTAAAAAGAAAATACTTGAGACAGAAACCTAGAACACATGATCACAAAGAAGACATCTGAATTCCATTTAACCTAAAGGAGAAGAGCTAATCAAGACTATGAACAGGAAGATGAAATTTAGCTTCCCTGCCTCTGGCCAAGAACAAAGGGAAAATAAGTCTCCTCTGTCCATCAGTGTTTTGGCTACAGTTGGCCTATAAAAGCAAGGAGGCTCTCTAAGTTCACAGCTACTCTCAGCCTCAGAATGGCACTGTTTAGGACAAACCATTCTAGTATTCCCAGAAGATACAAGCTAGAGAAGTCTATTTTATTACATAAAATCTAAGTCTGGCTGCACATCCTTAACTAATACCTTTAATAAATTACCTAAAAAAGAGAAGCCTGATTCTTGCCCCAAAGCTCAATTTAAGAGCAGCTTGAAACACTATTAAGATATTATGAAATGTATCTATTTAACTACACTGGCTATCCACCCAATTCCAAAGCCCCAAAATGTCAGCAGACACATGGACTTATGGCAGGAACTACCAAAGGAGGCAAGTTGCTTTTGATCCTCAGAACTTATTTTTAAATAGGAGGATAGGGGTGCCTGGGTGGCTCAGTGGCTTAAAGCCTCTGCCTTCGGCTCAGGTCATGATCCCAGGGTCCTGGGATCGAGCCCCCGTATGGGGTTTTCTGCTCACCAGGGAGCCTGCTTCCCTTCCTCTCTCTCTGCCTGCCTCCCTGCCTACTTGTGATCTGTCAAATAAATAAAATCTTTTTAAAAATTAAATAAATAAATAAAATAGGAGGATACACATGACCACAGATGTATGACTGCTTTGTAATACTTGTTATTTATCATGAGTTATAATTTATAAACTTCAAAAGAACTTTAAATCAAACCTAAAGCCCTTATTTTAAATGTCCAGAAACTTGCCTAAGGTCACAGTGCTATTCAGTGGACTGATTGCCTGGGCAGTTTTTCTTCATAGTAAAATAGTTTGGATAAATCAAAACCAAAACAAACTACTGCTTCTAGACTTTGAAAATGCTAATGAACCTTTAAAAGGATACACTGTAGGGTTGAAGTTCTTCAGTATAAAGAAGGAAGCAACAATGACCAAGACCAGGAAGAGGGTGTTGTTATAGAAGATGGAAAATGTTGTAGCTTCATAATCAGCAACTTCGTTCTTCTTCCACAAGATTCTGTAGACAGACAAACCAATCAAGTTTATAAATATGTATTAAAATATTTTAAATATGACATGGCTCTAATTCACTATAACGTAAGTTCTTCCTTACATATTCTGGACAGAATGTGTTTTTAATATTAAATTTAATCAGCATTGTACCCTTTTTTCCTGCTGAAAAAGACATTTTACTCAATTGATAAAATAGCTGCTCAGTCTATTACCTTTCTTCCCAGGCAGTCAGGGCTTTGGAGGAAGGGACAGATTAATTCCAACTGGCTTGGTTTCATCAGCAGCCTAAAGAGACATGAGAAGTTCCCTAGGTCCTCACCTAAAACAAACTCCACGATCAGTAGCCAGATGAAGCTTTCCTGGCTGTCTGCTGGCTTGAGACCCTCAACCTCCAGATTTCAGCCTTCAGTTATTATACCTGAAGAAAATCCTAAGGACCAAAAACTAGCCGTGGCTCACAGAAGCAGACTAGTCTGCAACTATCTTCAGCCACCTTTACAGGATTCAAACAAAGAATGTGCTCAACATAAAGAGGATTTTTTAACTTTTGTAAAACCCATTTACTTTTTATTTAACCCATTTTACTCATTATGTTTTATTAATTGACTAAAACCTTATCAACCTTTTCTTTTACCTGTTCACATGGGCAGCAGAAGTTACAGGATGCCTGTGAATAAGGTAACCTTTATTCCATTTGATTAATTAACTTTGTAAAGCAGTTTTTAAAAGAGTAGGTTGTGACCCATTAGTGGGACATGAAATCATTTGGGTGGATTCAATGCTCAGGGAAAGTAACTTGAGTGGAACGAGACCAGTTTTTTTTTTTTTTTTTAAGGTTTTATGTATTTATTTGAGAGAGAGAGAGCGAGCGAGCGAGCACATGCAGGAGAAGGGGGAGGGTTACAGAGAGAAGCAGATTCCCCACAGAGCAGGGAGCCCAACTTGGGGCTCGATCGCAGGACTCCGGGATTATGACCTGAGCTGAAGGCAGATGCTTAACCAACTGAGCCACCTAGGCACCCCAAGAGATCAGCATTTTTTTTAAATAGAAAAGTATCAAGGACGCCTGGGTGGCTCGGTCTATTAAACATCTGCCTTCAGCTCAGGCAGTGATCCCAGGGTCCTGGGATCGAGTCCCACATCGGGCTCCCTGCTCAGCAGGGAGCCTGCTTCTCCCACTTCCTCTCTCCCTGCTTGTGCTCTCAAGTAAATAAATAAAATCTTTAAAAAAAAAATATCGAGTGTATCACCCACATAATTATCGAGTGTATCACCACCATAATCATTGTTTTGTGAAACATTTGCATGTGTGCATGTTTGAGTGTATTTGGTCAAAAGGTGAAGTACTTTACTGTGATTATCAAAAAGGTTGAAAGCCTTCACCACTGATGTTTTGTCTCCCAAAGATCCACTACTCTGGGGTTAGATGATTCCTTCCACCAATCCTAAGGACAGCACTATGGCTAATGTCATTGGCCACTGCTGCATTTTATTCACCACATGTTTTAGTCCAAAGTCAACAAGCCCAACTATAAAGGAGATAAATGAAATGAACTTAACTTCATCACAAGAAGTCTGTGGTCTTCTAATATAAATGCCACAGTTCCTTAACTCTATGGATACCATCAACTTAAAACTTCTGTTTACTGTTAGTTTTGGGAAATAAAGGATACTATGTTAAATGCAGCCATCAACTACAAAACAGCTTCTGATTTCAGAGTAGTTTAAATGTAAATTTAGAAAACATATGGGACTTGGAATTGAAGGAAATACATTTTATCAGCTTAACACTGATGGAAGAAACCACTATCTCCGAAAGATGCACAGACCCAACGTGGTTTAATGCTAGAGAACATGGACAACAAGTGCCCCTGTTTTTAAGTCTCTGGTACAAGACCAAAGGAAGACAGGTTCCTTAATTAAGCTATTAGCATGCCTCCACTACGGCTGCCTAGATTATCCCACCTCCACAGGAGCACTCCTCCCTAACTCCTTGCCATGCCCTGATTCAGAACCATCTTCAGAACACTTCTGATGAAAAAAGTGGCTCACTCCTTTAGGTTACCCCAGCTCCCAATATGACCAGGTGTTACATCAGTGCACACACAGGACTGCCTTGGACAGGTTTCAGAACTTTCTCTAGCCCACTCGTATCCTGTTTCATTTAGAAAAAAAATGAAGACCATCCCCCCCACACACAAATGTCCTCATCAGCAACAGTTCTGCCAAAGCTTTACTGGTAAGGAATCTAGTTTGGGAGAGCACTCCCAAGGAGTCATTTTTCTAAAGAGCACTTCCTAGAAGAGAAAGACTGAGACCAAATCCAAGAACTGTTATAATCACCTAACGCTAAATGAGAGAACACTGGTAAGTCAAGAAGAAATAACACACACCCAGGGATAAATATTAATGAATCTCTGATTCTCCTCAGCTAATGTCCAATCTTGAATGGGGGGCAAAACAGTTTCAAAGTGGCATGGGGTACATAATCCAAATGACTGTAAGTGAGAGCTCTGAGACTGGGCAAAAAGGTGTTGACAGGCCTTCTCTTAAATTTCTTGAGGCAACTTACTTTTGAGGGAGAAAAATACTAGATCTTAATGGGAGTCCTGGTCCCAGTTATCAGTCAATCATGAGTAAACACCTGGATAAACTTTTTATCCGGTGTGGTTTTTGTGAAATAGTAACAGCACAAACTTCTACGATGATAAGAATAGAAATTTTACAACCTTCTGACACTCTGCATTTTATGTATCCACAGAACCTACACTTCATTCTCTTTGAAATACTGATTTCAGCCAATAGCAAAGGTATTTCATTTCTAATTCCAACTCTGATCTAGTAGTAGTGACTACCTGAATACCATGCTGAGAAAAATTCTGAGACATATCCCAGGATCAAGAACAAGTGCCAGACCAATCAGGCAAGTCTGCAGAGGGCAGAGGAGACCCATTTGCCATCTCTGCTATAATTCATCACCTGAAACCTATAGAGAAATTGGGTAGCTGTGATGCACACTTCAAGAACCACTTTTCTAATAAATACTATAATTTAATAAAAAAATCTCTTAGAAGTGTCCTAGATTCCCGCCCTCTATCACCATGCAAAAATTTATGATCAGGAAGCTGCGCAGCAAGATCTCATGAAAGCTATCCCTGCAAAAAGGCCTTCACTGTCACTATTTTAATACCGTGCCCTTCAGGAAGGACCTGGGATCTGGCTGAGTCGGTACAGCATACAACTTGCAGTCTCTGGGTCATGAGTTTGAGCCCCACATTAGCTGCAGACATTACTAAAAAAAATAAATAACATCTTAAAAAATATATTGTATCCTTCAGTTTTTATAAAGGATTCACAGGAGATAATCATTCCTATAATGTTTTATAGTGCTTTTCAAAACCACTAGAAGACACTGTCCATTAAGTTACTCAGTGTCCCTTAAATAAGGATCCACTTGATAAAGTCCTTCCAAGATTCAGTGCCAGGAAAGTTTCTTTTCTGAAGGACTTACAAGCTGCTTCTCATCAGACAATGAAAGTGTATGACCTCAGATGCTCCCCCTGACACTTGGGAGCTCAGAGCTAAGTTCAATGCTCAACTGCTATACCTAACTTGGAGATTCTTGTTTATCCAGTTTTTCTTAATTTTAAAGGTTTCTGCTCTTTCAAAATTGGACTTCTTTATTTCACATGTGCTTTAATATGGCAAGTCTCCACAAAGTCTTTCCGAGGCACAGTGGGTTAAAAATTCCATTTCACAAAGCACTTTGTAGATACTAAAACTTAAGATCTATGAAAACCTCATCCCGTGACTGTATTAAACTTACATAACAAGTCTTAAGCACAAGTTTATTCAATTATTCAGAGACTTCTGTTACTCAGATATTAGACTATTAAGGCTTCTAATAGTTGGCAGGAAAAACTGAGGGGAAAGGGCTAACAAATGTGGCACAGATTTGGGCAACAAAGAGAAATCAAGCTGTTTTCTCTTTCCCAACCAACGAAGATAACCAAGAACTGGCTGTCCCTAGGGAAACTCAGGAATGGAAATACCACCACCTAAAAATGCTAACACAATGCAATGTAAACTCTTCAGACCCAGAGTGGGGAGGTGATATGCTCAAGGTCACATAGCTACCAAGTGCAGAGCCAGCACAGAATAAAGCTCTGCAAGCTCTGAAACTCCAGGAGAGAGGTTAGGACAACTCTCCAAGCCATATCGCCCTCGTTCTTACGGTGGATTGACCTCCACACGGGAATTTATGCCCTCAGCTTCTTCAGATGTAAAATGCAAACAGCCCTACCTCACAGAGCTCTTTAAGGAAACAAATAAATGAACTGTGTATAACACAAAAGCATCTAGTGGGGGTAAAAACTCAAAATGTCAGTGTGATTGTTATTCCCATTACTAAGTCTTCTACGTTTAACCTCAGGCAATTCCATTATCCACATTATCTGGGCAACAACCAAAAACTTAATTTTCTACAAAGTATCCCCTTTTTGGATTGTTTCCAACAATTCAGAAGTCCAACCTTTCATCTTTTTCCTTTCGAGACATCTTTCTGTTATCAGCTTCGGAAAGTTTTCGAGTCACTTCTTTGGAAACAGCATCCTCCCTCTTCTGTGCTACTCTGGGGGGGGAAAAAAAAAGAAAAAAAGTTTCCACATGCTCCAGGAATGAACATCACCCTATCAAACACTCTGTACTTATATTTTGTATTGGCAACTATAGGATACTTTACATTTGAAGAAATAATTTTGACAGAAAATTCCAAGTTTATTATACTGTAAGAGCCATAAGAAGGTTCAAGAACTTCCAAGATGGAGATTATTAGTTATTGGTTTTGACTTCTGCTTTAAAAGGATAACTTTCCAAAGTTTAGGTATTTAATACGTAAAGAAGTCAAATGCTTTTAGCACAATTTAGTTATAAATCATTTTAACTCCATTTTGTTTTAGCCTATTTATTTGTTCAACAAATAAATTTGATAAGGCATTGACAAATGATACAGGATCTCAATGCCAGTAAATATAAGTAGACTTAAAAAACAAAAGGGGAGCGGGGCACCTGGGCGGCTCAGTGGGTTAAAGCCTCTGCCTTCGGCTCAGGTCATGATCCCAGGGTCCTGGGATTAAGCACCGCGTCAGGCTCTCTGCTCAGCAGGGAGCCTGCTTCCTCCTCTCTCTGCCTGCCTCTCTGCCTACTTGTGATCTCTGTCAAATAAATAAATAAAATCTTAAAAAAAAAAAAAATGGGGGGAGGGGACACCTGGGTGGCTCAGCATGTGAAGTGTCTGCCTTTGGCTCAGGTTATGATCCCAGAGTCCTGGTTGGGGCTCCTTCCTCAATGGGGAGACTGCTTCTCCCTCTGCCTGCTGCTCCCCCTGCTTATTCACATGCACAGTCATGCTCTCTCTCTGGCAAATAAATAAAATATTTATTTAAGAAAGGGTAACTGTTGGCAAGGAAGCGGAGAAAGGGGAATCCTCCTACACTATCAGTGGGAATGCAAGCAGGTGCAGCCACTCTGGAAAACAGTACAGAACTTCCTCAAAAAGTTGAAAACAGAGCTATTCTACGACCCAGCAATTGCACTACTGGGTACTTACCCCAAAGATACAAATGTAGTGATCTAAAGGGGCACCGGCACACCAATGTTTATAGCAGCAATGTCCACAATAGCCAAACTATGGAAAGAGCCCAGATGTCCAATGACAGATGAATGGATAAAGAAGGTGTGGTACATACACATACAATGGAATATTACGAAGCTATCAAAAAATGAAATCTTGCCATTTGCAATGACGTGGATGAAACTAGAGGGTATTATGCTGAGCAAAATAAGTCAATCAGAGAAAGACAAGTTTCATATGATCTCACTGATACGTGGAATTTAAGAAAACAAAACAGAGGAACATAAGGGAAGAGAGGAAAAAATAAAACAAGATGAAACCAGAGAGGGAGACAAATCCTAACACTCTTAATCATAGGAAATAAACAGGGCTGCTGGAGGGGAGTGGGGTGGAGTGATAGGATAATTGGGTGATGGACATTAAGGAGGGCATGTGATGTAATGAGCACTGGGTTATTATATAAGACTGATGAATCACAGGCCTGTACCTCTGAAACCAATAATACATTATATGCCAATTAACTGAATTTAAATAAAATGTTTAAAAAAATTACAAAGCAGAATCATAAAAAAATAAAAAAGAATTAACAGCTCTAATATATTAAAATAATACTTTTAACTTCTACTCAAAGAACAATTTTACTAAAAATAAATACCACAAGGTCAGGGATCAATCATACCACTTTTAACTAAATGAACCACTAGTTGTACCAAAAGATAATATGGAATCAGCCAGAAAAACAAAAAGTATTATTCAAGATACCAGATCAGAATCTTCAGTGATCAGTCCAGAAAAAAAATTTTTTTTTCCATCAGAAAAATCTATAAGGTGAATTTTATTAGATGAGATCGCTGGTGAAAGAGGATAAAATTTAACCTATGACAAAATACAAAAAGCCTCCAAAAGTTCAAGACATTTAAATTCAACATGGTGTATTTTTCATAATATAGGAAAAACTGGTTAGCCATAATTATAGAAAAAAAAAATAACTGATACAAGCAAAATCTAACAACTACCTACACAGTTCCACTGTGAAAATGTTCAACACATCTGAGATATATTAAAGGGAACAAAATGTGGAACGTGGAAATCTGTTCACTCTGTGTTCAATTAATTAATCCCTCATTACTCTGCTATATTTAGTTCTGGCCAGTGTACCAAGGAAAGGTGTGGAGAATTCAGGATGGATTCCTGAAAAGAAGGCCCAGGATCATTCAAGTCAATAGTTTTCAACCTTTCTTTAATCACAAGAGCTTTTGGGACACAAATTAAAGAACAAATTCCCAAAGATCCAACTTTACCTGATTCATTTTATTATGTAAAAGTTCTGTTCTTAAGGGCAGAGACTCTTATTTCTGAACCTCTCCAACAGACCAAGAACTCAATAAAGGTTTCTTGAACTTAACATAAGACCACTTTTTTCTAAGAAAGGCCAGCAGAGGGGTGCCTGGGTGGCTCAGTGGGTTAAGTCTCTGCCTTTGGGTCATGGTCCTGCATAGGGCTCTCTGCTCAGCAGGAAGTCTGCTTCCCCCTCTCTCTCTGCCTGACTCTCTGCCTAATTGTGATCTCTGTCAAATAAATAATAATAAAAAACTTAAAAAAAAAAAAGGCCAGCTGATAAGAAATGAATATGGTTTACAGCAGAAACACTTCTGAGCTGAACAGAGGGAAACACACACACACACACACACACACACACACACACACACACAGAGCCCATCAGGATAGGACACAGGAATAACTATTTTCAAAGGAGTTGGCTATCTCCAAGTATCTTTAAAACAGTCAATCATGTGTTCACAGGACAAATTTTCCTGAAGAGACCAAACCTAAAGATTAACTAATTAATTTCTCTTCTAGTTCTAAAATTCTATCTTCACCTAACAGACTCATAACAACCTGTCAGGTTTATTACAACTCAAGAAGTCCCCCCTCTGTCTTAGGGCTCTTAGTAAGTCTCAACGCTGAATGCTCTAAAACAAGACAAAGGTCATTCTGGTGGCCCAGCACTCAGCCAAATGAGATAACCCACAAAATCAACTGTTTTTCGTCTATTATTTTTTTTAACATATTTCAGAACTGTTCCAGAATAAAAAAGAAAAATACCATCTATTTAATTTCTTAAACCAAAACATCTTTGCAAACATTTTTTTAAAGTCATGCAACCTTGAAAAAAATTCCTACGGGCTCTGTCACCCCCAATCTCTCTGACACTGCACATAAACATTATGGGCTCACTATGCTTGACATGTCACCTGCATTATCTTATTTAATCCTCGCCATCTGTGAGGTACCATTAGTATCCCAATTGCACAGCTCAGGAATGGGACATCTAAAAAGATGAAATGTGTGCCCAAGGCTAGACATTTAAGAAAGGGAGAGCTGGGAATGGAATTCAGACTGTCAGCATATAAGCCATCTTCCCTTTTACTATGAACACCTACCCGTACCCTGCATCTTCCTGGGGCTTTAAGCTTTAACACATCTTGTAAAACTGTAGGAGCTTCGACATGAGTGGCAGCATTTAATATTAAGTCAAAACTATGATTAAAAAAAAAAAAATTCCACTCTGACAGAACCTATTAAATAAAGTCAGTAGAAACTGAAATTTTACTGAACTAAATGTAGTGTTAACTGTCTTAAGGGTCAAAAGACATGGCAGTGGCCCTCAAGAAGTCCGGAGCAGAAATGAGGAGATTTAAAAAAACAATTTTAATTCCAAAAAGGTTAAAGAAAAATAATATGCAGAACAAGTCAAAAACTGGGAAGTCTCAAAGGGAGTGAGTTCCAAGGATATCACAAAGGATTGGTCATTCAAGGTGCCCACATCTGAGGGCTATCCACAGATGACTACACCTCACAAGAAAGCCCAGAACAGCAGAGTCCAAGACAGCTGAAACCGGAATGGCAGTTGGTAAAGAGGGCCGCCAAGCATAAAGATGATAAAGGTGAGCACTCTGCTGGTCTAGCAGAAAGGCAGTCACACAAACCTGAGTTCCTACAGATCCAAGACAACAGCTGAGAGATGCTGAGGCCACTTTCAGCCACTGAGGCCATTTCTGGTCTTCATACAATAAATCCCTTTAACTGAGATCATCTCAACATTTTTTTTTTTTTTTAAAGATCTATATATTTGGGAGAGAGACTGTGGTGGGGGGGCAGGGGCGAAGGGGCGGGGAAGGGGTGAGGGAGAGATTATTCAAGCAGATGCTTGCTGAGCGTGGAGCCTGCACGGGGCTTGAGCTCAGGACCCTGAGATCATGACCTGAGGGGGGGGGGGGGAAGAGCCAGTCTACGCCGTTTATGTGCCCCTCATTTCAACATGTTTCTATTCCTTGTCACCACAAAGAGCCTAACATAGAAACAAACTTAGAAAGGATTTTTATAATGTGTGATCTTAAATTAGAGGAAATATGATAATCTTTTACATTTTTACATACTTGTAAGAAAAAATGTAATAAGCATTAAAAATGTCAGAGTTAAAAAAAAAAAAAAAAGACCACTTCTTTCATGTCCAAAAATAGAACATGGAGAATCAGAACTGTTATCTTCAGAAAGAATTTCATTTGACTTCAGCAATATTAATTTACCTGGTGCTGTTTTTCTGATAAAACCCATGATTAAGGCTAGTGCTCAACTGTTCTCATTTCCCTCTCAAAACCTACTTCTATTAAGTGTCAGAAGCAGTCTCTGCTTCGCTTAGTTAATAATTCTTTATAGCATTAATATGCCTATATACATACAGTTCAAACTGATATTTATTGAAAACAAGACAAATGGTCTTTAAGACATCCTTCTATATAAAAGTGCAACATGTAATACATACTTTCGCTTCACAAATATACTTACTTGTGTTTGAGAACAAATTTCACATTTTTGTATGCAAAGGCTACCAAATAAGTGCTTACTAGGGTCATCACACTATAGAGAACAGCAGACTGAATAAGATCCATATGCCATATTCGCCAATATAACCCTGATTTAAAATAGAACAGGAGAGGGGGAGAATACAAAAAGGAAAACATTACCACACAGTTACAAAGGCCTGCCCAATTAATTACAGCTAAGTCGATAAAATACAGTCCAGGTTAGGAAATCTAACACAGTCTAAGAAGATCTTCAGAACTGATAAAGTTAAGGTCTCAAACGTCCCCAGCTCAGAAAACTTGAAAAACAGAACGGCTTGGGAAGCCATTACTAGTCCAGACGAGATTTCTGCTTCTTCTAAAATGAAAATAAAATCTGGATTAAAACAAAAATCAATTCAGACTTCAGGTTTTATTCATCAGGGCACTATTAAGCTAACCACGAGCTGCTCCAAAACTCCACGTGCAGTCCCAAGCCATAGATTACATGCTGACGTGGCTCTCTGAAATCCAGGCAGTGCTCTGTGCTGTGCAGCCAGTGAGGTTTTAGAAGGCCAAAGGAAAATGAATCTTAACTGCCCAACAAACGTGCAGCAGTATGAAGCAGGAGATTCAAATTCAGGAAACCTGAGCTATAAAAACAACCTTTGCCTAAGTCTGCAAAATTCCTCCATCTAAGTGAGAATTCTAATTGTCCTAACAGCATTAAAAAGTTTAAACAAGTTAGAGCGCCGGCTCTTAGCACTGGTGCAACCTCTCACCAAATTAGGAAAACGACGTTCAGCACTGTGAGTACTTCACCCAAAGCTACACTTCTATTCGAGGGTTAATGGGAATTTGACTCTGACCTAATTCATTAGTTTTTTTCCAAAATAAGTAAACGATAACGTTTTAAAGCTCATAACGGCAAACAGTTGTGGGTAAAAAACAGAAGATTACATATGCATGAATGTCAGCACAAAATCTTAACTAGACGGTTTGTACAACAGGAGCCGCCATCCCCAAACTAGTAAATCACAATCTCTGGGAGCGGGGCCACAAGTGACTTTCCTGTGATGCCTCCCACCACTCTCCCTGTCGAGTACACTAAGTTAAGGCCCACAGAAGCTACGTGCTATCCCCGTGCTCAGGACAAGCTAGGGGCAGCCGCCGGCCGTAGGCCCCAGCGCGAACTCCCGCCAGTCGGCCGGGCCCTGCCACGTCCCTGCCCAGCCCGGCCCGCCGGCGGCCTTCGCGGCCCGCCTGCTCCCGGCGCTCACAGATGGGGATGGCGGACACGATAAAGGCATTCCCGAAGAAGAGAGCGGAGGACTTGGCCGAGAGGTTCCGGCTGAAATCCTGCAGAAGCAAATCCTCCTCGGACTGCTGCTTGGAGCCGCCTTTGGGAGCCATGGTAGACCGGAGCTTCGAGCCTGGAGGGCGGTGCTGGGTAAACGCCACTGGCCCCACCTCCACGGCCGCCGTATCCACTAAGGGCTCGCCAGCGCTAAGCGCGGAGGCGGGACTCGGCGCGGCGCGGGAGCAAGCTTGCCCAGGATTGGCCCGCGGCATGGACGTCTCCCGGTGTGATTCGGCAAGCCGGCCAGACTTCCGGGTTCTTGGCCAGCCCCGTGGCTAGTTGGGGATTTGTAGTTCCGTAGATACTTAAGAAAACTTAATTGACATTCCATTTTACAGGTGCCATCACGCTTTCGGTTTCGTTGGAATTCCAAAGTAGGACACTGTTCTGGCCTCGAGTCATTCAGTCGGTCGTTGAACAAGAGTACGGTTCGTACCTTCTGCGTGTACCCAGCACTGGGCCACTGGAGGAGGAAGTGAAGAAAGACACAGCTAAACAAAGACGTGTAAAGTCCTTTCTCCTTTACGTATCCATTATCTCTTTAAATCTCCTCGAAATCCTTTGACATGCACCTCGTTGTTCCCGTTTTGCGGGTGAAGACCCTGAGAGCGAGAGCCCAGCAGCGCTAGTCTCCGGGGTGTTGACTGTTTTTCAACAAAATTAACAGTCTACCTTTTCACGAAAAAGAAACCGCTTTGGCTTTTGAAGAGCTCCTGGTCTCTTTGATGAATATTTAACATGAGTCGAATACATTTACAAAACACAATTACTTTATTTCAACTCAATCTCTGGAGTAATGTGGACTCCACAGCCGTGCTAAATAAAGCATTATTCTAAGTAAAGAACATGTTGGGAAGACAGGCTTTCTCTGAAGCTCAGAAAATTGAATATGCCTATTAAAACAACCCGATACCAGTTTTGCTCATTGCATTATCACATTTTCTTAAAAACAAAACAAAACAAAACAAAAACAAACAAAAAAAAAACTCAGCTTCATTCATAGCAAAATCTTCTTTCATCTACAGTACTGGCAACAGGCAAACTTCTCCAACCTTCGGCTTCCCTATCAACAGATTAGTATATCTTTCATCTTAATTCCATCCAAATTGCAATTGACTTCCACGGTTTCCATTCTAATGGGAGTTTTCTGTCTGCAACTTTCAGTCTAGCCTCTATATAGGTACCATAGCGCAAGTTTTCCTGACATATAAGTCTTTCATATAAAGGCGAGAAGTCTTCATCAATAACAGCAAAATGAGAAAAAAAAAAAAGAACATACAGTGATTTTTTTTTCAGAAACTTAAGTATTCATTTAAAAACATCTGCAATATGTCCTTTTAAAATGGTACCGTGCTCTTTTATTATGCAATGGTGGTGAGAGAGAAGAAACTCTTACTTTCTCTTCCAACATACTCCCTCTCAGTTTTTTATACCGTCATAGATCACACCATTTTTTACCCATTTGTTCAGACTAAAATGCTACTTGTCAACACTAATGCCTTTCTTTCCCTCTCCATCTGTGACCAATTCATCAGCAAAACCTTTTGGATCTGTCTCTATACCTAGATTTATTCTTTAAAAACCAAGGATATAAAAAGATAAAATCAGAATAATAAGATCGAAAGGGACAAAAATCAAGATATTTAAAAGTAAATAAGAAACAATGATGAAATTAAGAAGAATTACACCTGAGAAAAGTATTTAAACAAAATAGGAAAGATAAAAGTTTGAAATATTAAATAGATTTTAAAAATGAAAATTGAAATGATTAAAAGGAGGTAGCCAAGAATTAATAGACTTTGCAAACCAAGTATAAAAACTAAAGACAAACAAAGAGAATATTAAATGTAGGCATTTAAATTTTTTATAGGGTAAGATAAAGAATAAGATGAAGAAATGTATAAGTCAATCGGAGAAAGACAACTATCATATGATCTCCCTGATATGAGGGAGAGGAGATGCAACATGGGGGGTTAAGGGGGTAGGAGAAGAATAAATGAAACAAGATGGGATTGGGAGGGAGACAAACCATAAGTGACTCTTAATCTCACAAAACAAACTGAGGGTTGATGGGGGGAGGGGGTTTGGGAGAGGTGGGTGGGGTTATGGACATTGGGGAGGGTATGTGCTATGGTGAAGTGTGTTAACCTGGCGATTCACAGACCTGTACCGCTGGGGATAAAAATATATTATATGTTTATAAAAAAATTTAAAAAAAAAAGAAAAAAAAAGATGAAGAAATGTGTAACCAATGATGTTAACCACAGAAGGTTTTTTTGGTGATGGTAACAATGAAGACATGAAGATAGCACATTAGAAGTACTAGAACAGTGTTTTCTCAAATGCAATCTAGTTCCTTTTGAAGAGCGACAAAATCTAGGCATATGTGGCATATGTGGCCATGGCACATTACAGAAAGCAGAGTAAAATGTGTGCTGAAAGAACAGAAGGAAGGATATCCTATGGATTCTAGGCAAAGACTGCAATATATTTTGGCCATTTCAATATAGTTCAACTCTATGAAGGAACTAAATGGACTCGATTCCATCCCAGCTTGATTGTGATTTATGAATTTAAGGCTTAACATTTCCATCACTTCATACTTAGAGTGGGGAAAAACAGGGGTGGGAGACGGAATTTAAAGAAATAATATTTATTACTGACAGGGACAAGGATAACAAATTTCTTTCGTCTACTGCTGATGGCTTTGTGGAGGAAAGTTCAGCAAGTTAAAAATTAGTATACCTTTCCTGTGACAGACACTGCAAATTGCTTAGCCAGTAAAGAAAAATAAGCTTTTCACAGGGACCTTATGAAAAATAATAGATGAGGGCACCTAGGTGGCTCAGTTGGCCTGAGCCATCAGCTCAGGTCATGATCCCAGGGTCCTGAGTTGGAGTCCCCAGAGCGGTCTCCCTACTCAGCAGGGAGCTTGCTTCTCCCTCTTCCTCTCCCCCTTCTCCAGCTTGTGCTCCTTCTCTCTTTCTCAAATAAATACAAAAAGTCTTAAAAAAAAAAAAAAAAACAGAGGAATCATCATGGGCTACTCTGGGGTAGGAGGGGAAGAGAGAAGTTCTTCGTTATACAAAGTCCATTTGAAATGGAAATCTCATTGTGGAATTGAATTTTGAAAGAAGAGATTAAACAATTCTCTTAGTTTCTAGGCTTAATATATTAAAGTGCCACCTGGGAGATCATTTATTCAGCCAAACTACATATTTCAGGCACTGGTATGCAATTTATTCATTGGTTCATCTCTTCATTTGGCTGAGATTTATTGAGAAACTACTATGTGGGGCACCTGGGTGGCTCAGTTGGTTAAGCGACTGCCTTCAGCTCAGGTCATGATCCTGGAGTCCTGGGATCGAGTCCCATATCAGGCTCCCAACTCCATGGGGAGTCAGCTTTTCCCTCTGACCTCCCCTCTCATGCTCTGTCTCTCTCTCTCTCTCAAATAAATAAATAAAATCTTAAAAAAAAAAAAAAAAGAAGCTATGTGAAAGGTACTATGCTAGAGACTTAGAAATACCCAAATAACAATCATAATTATGATTATAATAATCAATGTTTACTGAGTATTATACATCCAGCTCTATGCTAGGCTCTTGATATATCATCTAATTTAATTCTTACAGCAACACTATGGGATATGTGTTATTATCCCCATTTCTCAGATGAAGAAATGGAGGCACAGATTAGAAAAGTAGCTCACCTAAAATCCCACAACCAGTAATTGTTGGAGTCAAATTATGAACCCCAGGTAATCCGACTCTAGGATGTGCACTCTTAATTACACATGAGTTCTGGTCTCCTCTGTACCAGCAGAGTCTCAAGATCTAAGTGCTTGCCCCTCAAAGCCCAATATTGAACAAAGAGCTGAGGGTAGTTTCTTGTGGACCAGTTGCCATGCAGAGTCTTGTCACATTGCAGCTCTGGCAGGAACAACCTTGCACAGGTAGGGTCCTGTACCAAACCCACAGGCAAACCTCAGTGAGCAAGCCTGAGCTCTCGGAGTGGAGTCTGTCTTAAAGAGTGTGAAAATAAGATGTCAGAAAGAAACACAGCTGTTAGAGGTTTACAGAAACAGAGCCAACTAAGAGGGGGAAACCATAAACCATAACTCACCTGCAGCCATAAATTAAAGGGGAAATTAGATGTTCAAAGGGCCTCAGGCCTTTCTCATTTCCCTCTGTAAGCCTGAACAACACCTGCAACAAAGCAAAAACACTTCAAAAATGAAAAACAAAAATGAAAACAAGTTAGAAATACAGTGACATAAATATAAACATATTTTACATACAAATGAAAAAATGAGTAATTGTGTTCAACCTAATTTAGCAATCTATCACTTTTTCCCCAAAACGTTTAAGGCAAAGGAAACAAAATCAAATGCAAACACCATCCAGACAAGTAAACTGTGACTTAATAAGGAAGTATGTACTTGGTCTCTGCCCAGCTTCCTCTCACAGAACTCCTAAAATCCTTGGAATTACATAAGTGATAGGAGTGAGAGGAGCATATCTGTTGTTTTTGTTTTTTGTTTTTGTTTTATGAGCCCCTGTCAACCCCACCTGAGTGTGTTAATGAGCTGGCTCTTGGAGGATGGGGGCTTGTTGGGCTAGGAACCAACCTCCAGATTACAGAGGGTTAGAACCTTTTTTTTTTTTTTAAAGATTCTATTTATTTATTTGACAGATAGAGATCACAAGTAGACAGAGAGGCAGGCAGAGAGGGAGGAGGAGGCAGGCTCCTCGCTAAGCAGAGAGCCCGATGCAGGGCTCAATCCCAGGACCCTGGGGTCATGACCTGAGCCAAAGGCAGAGGCTTTAATTTAACACACTATGCTACCCAGGCACCCCCAGAGGGTTGGAACTTTAATCCCACTCCACCACCACCTCTGGGGAGAAGAGAGTAGAGAGGGGCTGGAGACTGAATCACCCACTGCTAATGATTTAATCAATCATCCTTGCATAAGGGAGCCTCCATAAGAACCCTTAACAATGGGATTCAGAGAGCCTTTGCTGAGAAGGTGGGGGGCCCAGAGAAAGCACAGTGAGTCTGTACCTTTTCCTGAATACTTTGTCCTTATGCATCTTTTCCA